GCTTTATTTTGCTTCGCCGTGCTCTCCGCCGGCGTACCGCCGTCGTCCCGCGCCACCGCTCCGCCATGAGCGCCGCCACCGTGCATAGCCCCGACGAGAGGTCCCACCGAGTAGCTCAACCGGTGCGCTAGGTCACGTAGGTCACGTGGTGAAGATGTCACCGCCGGCGAACTCGCCGCCGTTGAGCTTTGGCCGCGCCACCGCCGCGCAGCGTAGCTGGCCTGTTTTGGGTCAATGACGCGTGGGGTCCTCTGACCAGTGGGTCCCACCGGCCAGCGACAGCAGTGTTGAGGGCTAGTTCAAATATTCTAGATTTGAGTGTGTTTTGTAATTTTTAGATCTCTAGTTTGGTAGCTTTAAAAATTATGAAATAAATTTGGTAGTGTTCCTTAGGAAGTGTAGTATTTAAGAAAAATATGATCCTTGCACTTACAGTAGAAATTTTGAAAGATTTAAATGGAGATTTGAAATGTGTTTTTAAATGCATGTAAATTTATTTATTTTATATCTAGAGTTCCTGTGCTCTAAAAATTATGAAATTTTTGTGGTAAGCTATTATTGTCATGTATGAGCTCTGGTAAAAATTTGAGGATCAGTGCATGTATAGATTTGTAGTTATAGATTTTCCTTTTATAATTAGGAGATCCTTGTATGAATTTTTATAAATTATTTATGAATCCAATATTCATGAAATTTGTTGGAGGATATCCTAGTACCATATGTATGCTAAGAAAAATATAAAATCTGTTGCTTGACACATTTTACTAGGGTTTTCTATTTATGCTATTTCAAGCCTTGCTGCCTTGTTATTTTTGTATAGGATGTTTTACTTGGTAAAATGGCATGAAACTTTTACAGTAGTCTATTGGTAGCACTAGTAAACCACTGTAATTTTTGAGAATTTATGAAGTACATCTATTATATGTTTATTATTTAACCTAAGTATTTAGGTAAAATAATAAAGGCATTTAAAGAAATAGTTTGGGCTTCACCATGATATTTTCTTGAGTGTATTTGGTATGCTTAAACTGTTGGTAGACTTTGGGTTGTAAAAATTGGAATACTTATATGAAGTAAAAGTATTGTTACTTTATAATACGAATTGGAATAGTTTCCGGACAGATTCGGTAGTTTGATAAGTTGCATGATAAAAATGATGTTTGCTGTAAAAATAATTAATAACAAAGTTGTAGATAACTTCATCATATGTCTTGTGTTAAAATTTCAGGACCATAGGTCAAACGGTTTAGGAGTTACAGCTGTTTAAAGTTAGCCTTTCCGAATTTGCTTGTTCTCTAGAATTTCTGGACAGCGCTGGATTGATTGTCTGTTTTGGTTAAGATAAAGTGTGAATTAGCTTTTGGTAATTAAATAAGGGTTGTAGACAATTTTATAAGCTTTTCCGAAAGTCTAATATCACAACATTTGGATAAGTAGAACTTCAGTTATGAGTAAACCAAGCAGCTGTTGTTTTGTGTGTAGTGGATGAATTGTAAATATGTTTGATTAAGTAATCAAGAAGAGATATGCACCTACTCGGTAAAATATGATGCATTTGTTAACACCATGCTGTTAAGACTACTTATACGAATGCATTCATCCTGTGTCATCATTTTATACTTGTACGCATGTATGCATTCGTAATATCTTATGCCATATTCATGCATCTAGGATCGGAGGAAGAAATAACGTTGCTGGAATTCGACGAAGTAGAGGAAGGGGACCAGCAGGAGAATCCTCAAGTCACAGCTCCCGAAGGTGAGGAGCAGAATCCTGAAGAGCTTCCGGAGTGTCCTGATCACTGCCCTACTTCTTTTCTGTGTGGCAAGCCCCGGAGCATTCTAAGTCTCTCAGTATTTTACAAATGATTACTTAAGTACTTATGATTGATGCATTAGGTTATAAGAGTTGAATGGAAACACTTGATGCATGGAACTACCTTGTCCAGATATATACCCTTTCACCCTGTATAGGTCCAGGATCGAATATATGCTTAGCCCTTCTTAGATCGGTAGAAGTCGGGTGATTTCCTGTCACTTGCGAGATATAGGTGGATACCGAAGCATGGTTGGCTATATTTGCTATCGTGGAAAAGAACCATGGGGTAATGTAAATAGAGATCGGGCGGGATGTCGATAGAGAAGCAACAAGACATGGAGGTCTTGGGTGTGAATCTATCCCCGTCTATGTCGATTAAGGACCGTACCGTTGTTGGTGCTTCTGACAAGATTAAATGCATGCCTATCACTTAGCTAGCCGGATAACTCGTTCCGACCGCGAAGCCGAGTAGCTCAACTCAGGACGGGACCCGTTCTGTTGTGCTCTCCTTGCGGGGGGTGATCAGACTGAGACCAAGGGCAGGCTAGGCCTGAACGTCCTGGCATCTGGTGTCCTAGATTGTGCGGCGCGGTACGGACCCGCGAAATGTGTACCTGAGTTGTACCAAAGGTGTCCTAAGGCTGCCTTCGTGCGGTATGCCTGGGTTTGTGTTAGGAATAAATTCCCAGCTGGTTGAAATCGATTCGAATCGCTGTCTCTCCCGGATAGTGAGAAACTTGGCTAGTCCCAACATCGTAGTAACTGTGCTATGGAACATGATAGTTCGGATGAATATGGAATTGCAATACCTGCTATGGTTACTATTGTATGCTTTTAAATGGATATACCGCATATTTGGCACATGATAGTTGCTAATATAGAGATGGATAGTTATAATTAACCTGATATTGAAACCATAATTGTATAGCTAAGTTAATCGCTTTTATGCAAAATGTTGTCAAGCTATCCCCACTTATACAGCCTTGCATAATCCTTGGAGTCATTTTATTTCTGGTTTATGATGGGTAAGTCTAGCTGAGTAACTTCTCATACTCAGGGTTTTATTTCCCATGTTGCAGATGGCACTGTGTATCATGGTTATTGCAAGAGTTGCTTCTATCCCGCTGTGGATGAGGAGTAAGCCTTGGGTAGGCTTCTTATTAATCCTTCTACATGCTTTTGTGGACCGTGATCGTATTTTGGCACTGTACTAAACTATGTTGGAAACTTTACTTTTAAACTTAATTTGCTTCCGCTTTTATCTATCAAACTCGGTTTATAATAACTGGTTTCATACTCTGATGATGAAAATGTATCTGTGAACTTTATGTAATATGTGGCATGTATGTTGAATCATGTATGATCTTGGTTGTTGTAAATCGTTTATCGAGATCCGTCGTGGTACTCGATGGACTACCGGGTTTATATGGGTTCAAGTATGATAGTGCGACCGCTTGCGGGACGCCATTGTACTTGTACTCTTATAAATTGGTCGGTTCTGCGACAGCAGACTTGCTAGCATCCGGATGTCCAATCCAAGAAGCTAGCATCGACGGTGCCCGCGAGCGCAAGAGGAGCCCGCACAGCGAGCGACCGAGCACCCCAACAGCAAGCCCACGATGTCCTAGACGTCGCCCGTGCTGCCAACCACTTCCCACGCGCATCCCATATGCAACACCCGATCTATTTTTAAAACATCCAGATGCAACACTTGCTACATACAAAAGAAGTCAAATGAAACACTTGAAACATGAGTCAGAAACACCTAAAAAACACTTGAAAACAATTGCAAATATACGCAATATCCAGATAAAACACTTGCAACATATGTGAAACATAGCAACTTCCAGATAACACATACTTACCACGTACATCTGAAAAACAATGAAACATTGAGAACAAACACTTACAATATACGCGTACAAACCATTGCAACATATGCAACACCCCGATCTACTTTTGCAACATCCATCTGAAACACTTGCAACATACCTCTAAAATATTTGAAACACTTAAAATATACCCTTGCAACATGCGCTTTCAGCGTAACATCGCCTTGCTGCTTGGGAGAATGGAGGCTCGTCAACATGGACCTCGATGCCACGGAGAGTGGCGCGGGGGAGGGGGATGCTAGCGGGCGGACGGATGCAGTGCCCGGGAAAGCAGCCCTAGCGCTAGTGAAAGACGAGAGGCGAAAGGGTGGCGCGGTGGGATGGCGAGCACTCGGTGAACTGCGGTAGAGAGGGTGAAAGGCGAGCGGTGGCGCTATGGTGCAATGCAGAGAGGGGACGGCGGTGACTGGGCCGATGAAGAGCACAATGACAGCGCAGCCATGGTGGAGCACGACGAGCTGACACCGAAAACTTGCAGCGAGTGGAAATGACGTTTCTAGAGACTGCTAAAGACGACAGCCGAATGAATAGAGTTGAGGATACGTCGGGAACTCACGGTGAGTGGAAATGACGTTTCTAGAGACTGCTGAAGACGATAGCCAAACGAATAGAGTTGTGGCAAGCGTGGACATTCTAGTTGGGCCATCCGAGCCATCGCGACCTAGTTGGGCCGTCCGAGCCATCACGAGGGGAACTCAAGGTGAGTGGAAATGACGTTTCTAGAAACTACTCAAGATGATAACCAAACGAATAGAGTTAAGGTAAGTGTGGACATTCTAGTTGGCCCGTCCGAGCCGTCGCGACCTAGTTGGGCCGTCTGCCCGTTGCACGTGTTTTTGAAGGAAAAGAATAAAAAGAAAATGAAAAACCGTAAAAAAAGGAAAAATAAAAAAATAAAAAGTGAACAGTGTTGAGTAGTGGGCGGATGGCGGAGGAGGCAGGGATTCCTGCCTGGTTAAAGAGAGCCTATTCGAAATTCGCTGCCTGATGGTACGTCTACTGACAACAGTAAACAGTGCTATTGTACGTACTCACCACGTGTCTACAAGCAACAACAGTACAGTAAGCATCGCTATTCGTTTAGGATAATAACGCTATTCAAAATCGCTCGCTGCATGATGTCTGTAGACGATGATACGTCTGCAGTCTTCTACACGATGCCGACGTACACGTACTGGACTACACTTGTCTTTGTCTACTTTGCTCGCCTCGCAGCCTTGGAATAGGAACGCCCAGGCCCAGCCGGCTCATCAGGCCTCTGCACTCTGCAGCCTGCAGGCAGGTTGGTAGCTAGCGCCGTCGTGGCATGCCAGTGCCCTCGTCGCCCATCTTGCCGACGTCGTTGATCGCCTGCCCCGTCATCTGGTCCGCCGCCTTCACCCGCAGCATCACGTCGTCGTCCTCATCAGGCTCACGATTGTCGTCGTCCCCGATCCCCGGCGCCGGCGATGCCGCAGCTGCCTTCCGGTCCCCGCCACCGGCCGCCTCAGCCCGTTTCCTCTCCACCACGTCCGTTGACCGTTGGCATCACCATCTTCTCCGCGAACGTGCCCGCCATCGCGCCCTTCGCCATCCCGTAGATGTTCTCCGTCGCCGCCCGACCCCTGCACGCGCGCAGTCCAAAAACCCAGAAGAAGCGAGTCACGCGCGACTCAAGCATGCATGCAGTAGAAGAAACGGATGAGCTGTAGCGAGTACTTCTCCTCCTCGGATGGCTCGTGCACGCGCCGCGCCTCCTCCTGGGCCTTCTCGGCCGCGCGCCGCCGCACGTCCTGCCCCTGCTGCCACGCAGACTCGTCCATCTCGCCCTTCCTCGCCACGGCGTCGCCTGCGAGCGCCAGCCGCGCACCCTCCTTCTCCACCGCGTACTCCTTGGCGCGCTCTACCGCCGCCGCCGCCGCCATGTCCGCTGCGGTGGCGTCGTCGTCGTCGCGGTCGCCGCCGCCGTTGCCAGAGAAGGTGCCGCGGACGGCGCCCATGACGGTCCGCGCGCTGTCCTGCACGCTGCTCAGGATGCCGCCGCCGCCGCTTGCCGCGGGGCTGACGGGCGTGGTGGCCTCGTGGACCTGCTGGTCCCGCCTTGATGCGGCGAGCTCGTCGGCCGCCTTTTGCGCCGCGGACCTTGCGTGCTCCTCGCGGCTCTTCTGCATGGACGCCATGGCACACACCGGACTCTCGTTGATGATCTAGCTATCGACCGGGGGGTTGCGCAAGCTTCTGGTTGCTTGGGTGAGATGCCGGAGCACGGCAGGGGAAGGCGGACAATAAAACGATGGCCATCATAGGGTGACGCGGCAGGGGCTGAAGCCCGAGGGCGTCGCGCTACGCGGCGCGTGTGGGGGTGAGCTGACACGTATGTACCCACGCATGCAGGAACGGTGCTCAACTCCATCCACTCCACCGTGTACCTATTGCCAGGGAATCCGACATGTATCTTGAACTGAAGTAGTGGAAAAATATAAGACCTATTCAAAATGACCTATTTTGGATTTCGAAGCACCAAAAAAAATTGCACCTACAAAAAGTAACCTTGAACAATAGCTACGACACCCCAGATTGTCAAAAAGAAAAAAAAAACATTCACGCCGCTACGCCGATAATCCAAATACGACGCCAAGACGATAATACAAATGCGACGCCTATAGGAGGGAATGGCGCCGACGGTGACACCGCTGCACGTCCAATGAACCAGGTTTTCACCCTTGGATGACAGAGTTAGAAGGAGAACACGATGTCGCCAACTAGGAAGCGGCGCTCACCGGTGTCGCCGTCGCCAAGGCTTTCGCCCACGAACCCACTAGCACGGATGCCAGGGCCAAGAACCAGTTAGCACTGCCATCACCGCTGTCTCGCCGCCACCTAGAAGCCCCTTCAGAGGGGCATCGACGCGTCGGCTGCACGCAGCAGTTGCACACCTACGTCGCCCACCACCCCTCAAACCAGGCCACATGGAGTTGGACCTGACTCCACCACTCGCGTAACACTGCCGTGCATCGAGGCTGTCAATAACCACCGTCGGCGGCTCTGGCACCCACCGCTATCGTTGCCGATCTTGCAGCCAGCAGCCACGAGGTACGTGCCCCCACCACCGCGAGCGCCGCCCCTGCCCTAGGAGTGCCGGATCCAGTCGCCAGGCTTGGAACCCCGCACCCCATGCTGACGCTACTGCCTCCATCTTGACCACTGCCACGGGCGCCATACTTAGTTGGCCCGCCAGACTGCTAGTGGCCACCGCTGGCAGGCGGCCCCGGCTGCCGTCCTAGCAGCAGCTGGGCAGGTTTGGCCGTCCGCTGCTTCGGCCTATGCCGACCCCGGCCACGCCCAAGCCGCCAGACCGGCCACCACGGGAAGGCCAGCCTCGTAGTCCGGCGCCACAGCAGCCCTGGCTAGCCGTCGCCGTAGGAATCAAGCCCGTGAGGTGAGGGAGCAAGCGGAGGAGAAAAGAGGGAGCTATGTCATAGCCCCCTGTCGCTTGCACAAGCACCGTCCGCCGCCGCCACAACCGCCGCCGGTCGTCATGCCGCCTGGCCTAGGCAAGCCAGATCTAGCTGCTAGGGGCTCAGATTCGGTCGTCCAGGCACTGAATTCGACCACCTAGGCACCGGATCGACGGCCGCTATCACCGTCAAGACCTAGAGGGACGCACGGGGGAGAAGAGAAGTGAGCCCCGCGGCCATCCCCTACGCCAGCTCTGGCACTAGCAGGCGCTGCCAAAAGCTGCGGTAGGCCCTCCCCTCCAAGCTCCACATAGCTCACACGGGGGGAGGGACCGCCGGCCCACTGCCATGCGCGCCACGGCACTCAAGGGAGGGAGAGCCCCACTACTGCCATCTCGGTCGGCCGAGCGGCCATGTTGGTGGCTAGCTCCGGAGGCAGCACGACGGGAGAGGGGGAGGGAGAAGGGGGGCGGTGCTAGGGTTTTAGGAGGGCCTCCGTGTTGCCCACGTGGGAACGACACAGGGGCGAGGTTATGTGTTTTTGCTTAATTACCAATCTAATGATATTTGTTATGTATCATGAAAATGAGTAGTTTTATATATACTTAGTCAAACTTAAGGATATTTAATGAATCAATCGACAAACAAGATATGTACTTATTTTGAGACTGACGGAGACGGGCGGAGTATGTATACATGTTCATATGAATGACAATGATATTTAAGGATTTTTCACCCTTTGATACCAGAGAGTATGTATACAGGTTCGCATGAATGTTTAGGATGGACGCCGCTAAAGGTGTACATTAGAAGATCATATTGATGAAATTAAGAACGGGCATCAAGCTATGCATAGATAAAGATGCACGTATATATGGGCATCAGATCCTGTAGAAACCCCGTCCGAGGAGCGTGACGGCTAGTGGCGCATGGTCGACTCCTGCATCGTCAACTAGATCTTCACCACTGTCTCCAAGGTCGGCTTCGACATTGTTCGTCAGTCGTGCTTCACCGCCTTCTCGCTGTGGCACGCCATCGAAGGCCTCTTCTTCGACAACGAGCTACAACGTGCGGTCTACCTCGAGGCTGATCTGTGTTCCACAAAGCAAGGCAACCTCTTGATCAACGACTACTGCACCGAGCTCAAGCATCTCAACAATCAGCTTCGCGACATCGGCCACCCCGTCTCTGAGCCAGGCCAAGTGTTGAATATTCTACGTAGCCTCAACCCTCGTTACCGCTACGTCCAACTGGTCATCACCTCCAAGTTCCCAGCGCATACCTTCATGAGCGTGCGCTCCTTCCACATCTTGGAGGAACTGAGCGCCCAGCACGACACCAATGTCAAAGCCGGGCATGCTCTCACTGCCACACATGGTGATCGGTCGAGTGGTTCTTTCGGTACCACTCACGTGTCCTCCAATGATGGGTCTTCGGCCTCTAGTGCGCCCCACGCCAACCGCTCCAACAACAACGGTGGCCGCACTGGAGGCTGAAGACCCATCGTTGGAGGATGCGTGAGTGGTGCCCGCTCAGTCGATCACCATGTGTGGGGCTGAGAGCTTACCCAGCTTCGATGTTGGCGCGTGCTGGGCGCTGAGTTCCTCCAAGACGAGGAAGGAGCGTGCGCTAATGAAGGTGTGCGGTGGGAACTGGAGGTGATGACCGGCTTGATGTCGCGGTAACGAGGGTTGAGGCCATGAAGGAGATTCAGCACCTGGCTCGGCTTGAAGACGGGGTGGCCGATGTCACGAAGCTGATCGGCAAGGTGCTTGAGCTTGGTGCAGTAGTCGTTGATCAAGAGGCCGTCTTGCTACGTGGAATGCAATTCGGCCTCGAGGTAGACCGCGCACTGTACCTCGTTGTCGAGGAAGAGGCTCTCAATGGTGTGTCACAGGGAGAAGGCGGTGAGGCGCGACCGATGAATAATGTCGAAGACGGCCTTGGAGATAGCGGTGGAGATCTAGTTGACGATGCAGGAGTCGACCATGCGCCACTCGCCGTCACACTCCTTGGATGGGGTCGGTGACCGAGCGTGACTCTCGAGCCTGAACTTGCCGAGCGCGGAGTTGAAGCAGCGCCACTGGCCATAGTTGGCCTCGTCGATTTCCAGCATGACGAGGACGTCAGAGGCTCGGAGCAGATGGAGACCGCCTGGAGGACGGCGGAACAGAGGAAGCACAGAGTGCGAGGGAGATAGCGCCATGATGCGGAAGCGGTGGTGAAGGGATTGGTGAGATGCTTGGACGATGATATTACGTAGAAAAAAAAAAGATTGATCAACTGACATATTATAATGATCCCTGGTGTTGTACATATATAGATTCCAACTGTGGCCAGAGGCCACACCTAGACAGGCGAGTACGCGGGCGAGCGCGCTCTGCGGGAGCGTGGGCGCCGCGGCGTGCGCGAAGGGCGCTGGACCTGGCATGCGCTTGACTGAAGACCGGGAGAGCTCTAGCCGTTGGAGGCGTGCCGCTGACAGATCCAACAGAGCCACGTTGTTGCGCATGCCGTATGTGCAGTTGCTGCCTGCCTAACTGCCTATCGGCGACTGCGAGGCCGTTCTAGCGTGCGCACGTTCAAATTGAAATGATGTTCGAGCGATGCTTGCTTTGCTTATATATGCACACTTTGACTGTTGCAAATACAAAAACCAAAATAGCTTGTATTATTGTTGTATATATGAACTTCAGGGAAAAGAGGAGATCCGTCGCGTCTCTTTATTTATTGTAGTTCTTTTATAACGTTTATTTGTAGTTGGATGCTACCTTTACATGAGAAGCACAACGCCTGAACGCCGGCCAGGTCAGCTTCGATCCAGCGGCCATCAGCTAGAACGGCGTCTCCGTGGAACGTCGGTGCCCTCCTCCCCCATCTTGCCGACGTCGTTGAACGCCTGCCCCGTCATCTGGTCCGCCGCCTTCACCCGCAGCATCACGTCCTCCTCCTCCGACTCGGCTTCGTCCCCCGCCTTATTATCTGTGGTCCTGTCCGCCGCCGCGTCCCTGACGCCACGCGGCTTGTCCGCCGCCACGTCCTTCGTCTCGCCGGCCTTGCCCATGGCGGCGTCCGCCACGCCCCTGGCCTCCTCGCGGACTTGGTCCCGCCTCGACGCGTGGAGCTCGTCGGCCGCCTTCTGCGCCGCGGACTGCGCGCGCTCCTCGTGGCTCTTCTGCATGGACGCCATGGCTCTTCTAGCTGACAACAACCTGGCACACTATCTACTCGATCGAATGATGATGCCGCCGGTGCACTCTCTTGTTCTTGCTTGGTTTGCTTGTGCGAGTGGTCAGTGGATGAACACAGTGCGGCGCGAGTTGGGAGATAAAAAGGGCGGCGAGAAATCTCCAGAGAGGGTACGGTGTCGAGGTGTCGCTTCTGCACGCCGCGTGTGAAAGCTGTAGGACACGTACAATCCTGACATGCTGCTCAGACGGCACGTTGGGTTCATAGCCCGAGAAGCCGAGCAAAAATTTGTGGATGGAAAAAAAAAACTGGATCCGCGGATGGTAAGACAGCCCGGGCTTTGAATTATAAGCATTTTATAATTTACCGTATAAAAGTATGGCATTGGTTAAACATGACATGTCATGCTCTATTATTATTCATTAAGTGATGAACAACTAATTAACATGTAAACAACCAAGGTGATTATGGGCCTGTTTGGATTCCTACCTCTAAACTTTAGAGCTTTAAAAACTTTAGAGCAGTAGCTCACTTTTGAGGTCTAAAGCTTTAATGTGAGGTGGGCTAAAATTTAGAGCTAATTTTAAACTACTTATTTGGAGCTTTAGCTCTAAACTTTAGAACTCTAAAGTTTAGAGGTGATGATTGAAATAGACCCTGTCGCTCTCCCTACTCTGAAATTAGAAGCAAGAACAATCATGGTCATTCTCAAAATGATCATGCATTCGAAGGAATCTTTGCAGTTGTACGCACATGGGAAATCAGGATAAACCTCCAGACTCAAGCGTGACAAGATCGTCCATGAACTGTTTGGCTGAGCCGAGGTCCTAGCCCTTCTATCTACCCCACCCTCCCCCTCACCAAATCCACACGGTTATCCGGTTGGCCCATGTACTAGGCTTACCACGGCCATATGGTTTGTACGAGTGATTACTCCAACTCACTACAATAGAGAAACGATCCTTAAGCATTGCACAAGCTATGCTACCTGAGATCTCACTCTCATGGTGGTCTTACCCCTCTTTAGTCATATTTCATAAGCAAGATTCATAACCAAGGTCATATTTATTGTTACCTTGTTCAAATTCAAAGGACCTATCAACTTCCCTTGATACAAGTTTTAGTTGGGTAATCAACCATGGTGTGTCCTGCCTATAACTCACGAACATGAGTTCCCGCTCACACTCGACTTCTACCTGTTCTAAGTCAAACTAAGCATAGTCGGCATTTTCAAGCCCCATGGAGTTGTTAACTAAAGCTTTACTATCTAAGGTGAGAGCTGAGATATTATTAGTGAAGCAGGTCAAGTTCTTTAACATCCTTAACACGACATGCAACTAAGTACATATACATGAAACAAGGTAAGTATCCAAAATAAAGGTTCAATAAGTAGTGGTGCCTGCCTGTTATGACGACGGATAGCATTGGGCCATCACGACTAGCTATATACATGCCTTGCGAAACATTTGAGCCTACAAGAGAGGAAACAGAGATGAGAGAGATTCGGAAGGGTTGATGGTATTTGATGAACAAGATGATAAGACGGGGTTATTTAAACAAACCAAGGACAAGGCCAAACGATAAAAATTTTGGGACACAACTGTGTTAGGGACTGAGGCAAAGAAGCTAAGAATAGGTGTGATCAAGGGTAGGATGCTCCACCAAACTCTATGTCAGGTGAAGACTAAGGCCCTATTTGTTTCAGCTTTTATCTAGCTTCTATTAGCCAGAAGCTGAAACAAACAGCCCAGCTATATATTGAGCCGGCTTTTGAAAAACTAGAAAGTTGGCTTTTGAGAAAATGAACTATAAGCTAAAAAGCATATTATGAGGAGTTTTCCTGGCTTTTGGTGCGCTGAGAAGCTAAAAATTTATTACAAAAGCTAATAGCAAATAACTAATAGCTACAAGCCAAAAGCCCAAACGTTGCAGCTCAAACAATCAGGCTCTAAGTGCAGTTGAGTTGTGTTTTCACGAACAATCTGTTATGAAGTGACAGACAGTCCATCGAGACATGTGACGAAAACATAGCCTGTGCATAGATACATGCTCCGTTGGGTCAGGGTATTGTGTAGTTAGGGTTGTTGACGGAGTGGTCCGATCGCTCAGATCTTATATAGTTTGTCGGCTCCTGACGGACAGTCCGTCGAACTAGACTGGTTGTGGGTTAAGTCAAAAACAATCCATGGTGACCTAATCTGGCATGTGACGCTCCGTTGATCCGACGATCAGTCTGCCATGACGGCATGGACAGCCAATGAAGCGTCGACAGAAACTTTATATATTGGTGTGCGTACTTGGGTGATCATAAGTGCTTGTAGAAGTTGTTCTAAGGGTGTTGTGGAACTTCGTAGGGGTGCTTGTGCAAGACTTAGGTGTAAGAAAAACTAGGGTTTGGCCAAGGGTCTATGCATACCGAGGTATGTGCTCTTACACTATGTTTGGATCTTAGAATAAGATTGAGATATATAAGACAACGGGCTTATCCATTTGGGTCTTGATTTTGAGATCACCAAGCTCAAGCTCGTCTCCTTAACTTCCTCACACCATGAGAAAGACATCTTTGATATTGGATAGGATGACAGTAACTATTTGAGAGAGAAGCTTCTCCTTCATGCAAGAACACATGGCTTAGAGATTTGGGGGATGAACAGGATGAACACAAGAGATTGATTGAGGGGAACCAGAGCTTACACTTGAGGTTGGATCGAAGATCTTGGGCTTAATAATCTCCTTCTTCACACATGAGTCTGCTCCATTTCTCTCCATCCATTTTCTTGCCCTTGCTCTCATGCTTGTGAGAGAGAGGAGAGTGGTGAGATGGGCAAGCTAGTGCTTGTGGCTTATGGATCTCCACGAGCTGACAGGGGGCAAGGTGGTTGGAGAGCGGACAACACAACACTTGCATGTTGTAGATTCACTGGCATGACATGGCAAACAATCCGTTGGGTCCTTGTGGACTCTGTCAAGCTGACCAGTCAACATGATTGACCACTGACTCGCGGGCAATCTGTTCAGAGATCACGGATAATCCGCCGAGATACTTAAGCCCTGAACTTTGTCAAACTCTTTAGATGGATCAAACGTAGTGGCACTCCACCTTCTATGACGGGTCACTAAGTCCTTGGTGGGATCTCTTATCCAATTTCTATGTTCAGTGCCCGTCATAGGCCTTGTCTTGCACTAGTTTAGGTAATTCTAAAAGATTGGGTATAAACACTAAGGTAAGCATTTAGGATAGTGGGTGGGTCGATAAACATGTGTCCACAGAGATAAACTAGAGAGCATAACTGACCAAGACTTTTGATAAGGAATCCTTGGGTTGCACCAGGGCCAAGACTCAAGGCAATAAGGCAGGAGCTCAGTGTTGGCTTCACAATGAGTTTTTTGCAAGGTTTTATTTGGGGTGGTTCTGGGTCATGACAAATATAAGCATTTTTTGTTCTCTATCTATGTGCCATGTTTATTCATATTTCTAACGCTTATCCTGGTTAAGTTATTTTTCAGAATGATAAAATATGATAAATACAATCTGGAAACGCAACCTTATGAGCCTATATTGATTTGCCATGTTATTCTAACATTGGATCCATGATTAAGAGCGTTCGGAATCTACAAAATGGACGTAATTCAGCTAGTGAAACCTAATCAACTGGATTTAAGTCTTCGATTTAATATGGATGGTCATATTTTTTAAAAATTTGGTCTCTAAGATTTAACAACATTTTTCAGTGGTGATTTTATTAATCTCAAGATATGTCGATCAAACTTAGTCTAAATCTTCATAGAAGTAGGATATATGTACACGTATTTATATATACACGAGCGTCTATAAAAATGTTGGAATCTCACGTGGATAATGACAGATTTTTATATATAGTGTAAATAAAAATACTAACATACACACAGCTGGAAGAATAGAAAATAATACGGAACATAGATTAGTAGTATATGCCTACGAAGTGTGCATGGCTATTCCCGGACGGCCGGACCATGCACGTGTGCATGCCTACGAAGTTAGAGACTCAGAATGAATCCCCATCTTATTAGCCAGAAAGGCAATACTAGTATTATTAAGAACTGCAAAGGAGTTCTGGTCATTAGAACAAGTACCTTTATCCTCCAGAGTTGTAGCCATCTTGCTCTGAGCTTGGTCTCCCACCTTCACTTGTGATGTGCCATTATCCTTGAGTCTCTTGCTCTGTCTAACCTCCTTCCATTTGGGCCAGTCAGTCTGCTTATCCTTCAGCCCATCTTCAATCACAACAGACAGCAGACACATGCTTATCCCATGTATTCAGCTGCTCCTGAGAACATTCAATGTTACTCATCTTTGTAGTGCCCATTTCAGCAACCATAGCTTCTTTATCAACCACCATGCTAACAGCATTTACTTCCTCATTAATTTCCTTGGCCTTCTCTTTTACTACTTCCACTTCATCAATCTCAGATTTCTGACCATCCTCTTCCTGAATAAGATCCTAATCCCATGTGAGGTACTTCTTCTTGACTGGACATATCTACTTCAGGAGCTCCCTGGCTGCCTTTTGATAGGCTTTCTTAACCTCTAGGTGTAGATCTAGTGGGTATGAACAGCTCGTTGGTGTATCTTGGTAGCTAGTGCACCCGTGGCGCCGTCACGGTGGCTGCGTCGAGTTGGAGTAGTGGTAGCCGTGACGCGCGCGCTAGGCCGTCGTAGGTGCAGGCACGGTGCAGTGACAACGGTCGAAGGCGTCCCGGTGGTGGCACCGCAGAGGCGACGGTGAAGTCGGTGGGGCTTCCCGTCGCTGGTAGCACATTCTCTTTAGATCGGGTTATGATTTCTCTGTAGGTGGGTTGTGGCGGCTCAAGTCAACCTCGTACCTTGTGTCCCGGCCCCCACCTCTCTTTTATGGTGCTGTGCGACGGGGGCCCACCAACCTTAGAGTGGTTGGACGCCCCCGATCAGGGCGTTGATCCACCAATTGGTGGAGATCAAACTAACATTCTCCTCCTTGATCT